TGACCGGTGCGTTGGGAGCTCCCGAATGTAGGGTGTTCCTTGCCCATCTGCTGCTCCCCGCTGTGAGGGTTACGATGCTTCTAGTTGACTAGTAAGAGGCAAAGTTCTTGCACTTTGAGATAAAAAAAAAAAAAAAACCCAAACATTTCCTGCGTGAATAAAATGTGCCTGAGCAGAGGTGGGTGTTGGCGTAAGGAGCCTTTGGCTGGGAGGCTGTGCCAGACCCGGGGTGAGCGCAGCCCACGCCTCGAGTACCTACAGGTGAGTCCTGCCCGCTGGGCGTTGGGAGCCGACGCGAAGCATGTTTGGTGTCTGGTTCCCAGTGTCCTCTGCCTGTCCCAGCCTGCTGTCAGGCTCCCTGACCATCTGGAGCTGGGAGGAGAGCAGCTTCTTGCTGTTGCTGTGTCCTGCAGACCCCCCAGGAGCAGCCTCCTGGGTGCTGGGCGGGTCCTTTCCCCAGCATCCAGCTCGGTCATCCTGTGCCGTGCCTTCCAGCCAGTTTTGGGGACAGGGTGGGAGCCTCATCTGTCTGTAGGATATCGCCAATTTCTGAAATAAGGCCCCAGTGACGACTTGGGTGGTTGTCTGGGCACTTCAAGGTACAGCCATGGCAAACGGGGCTGTGGGTTTATTCTCTGGAAACCCTTTCAGCTGCCAAAAGGGGCGAGCTCGACCCTGCCTCTGCATTCTGCCGGTTACCGGCTCTGCCCCGAGGAAGGGGCGTCCTTCCAGCACAGCGCTGGGCCTTCGTGGCCCTTGGCCCACAGCGGTATTTTGCTGGAAAATGTCCCGAAAAAGGGGGTGGCAGGAAGAGAGCTGCTGACTGCCGGCATTGGTCCCTCGATGGAGGCTGCAGCGGGGCTGTGCGTCCCCTCCCTGGCGCGTGGGTCGCCGCCAGCATCCGTCTGCGGGGACTCGCTGCTCTGCAACGACCCGCAGCGTCCCCTTCCAGTCTGTCCAGTGACCTTTTCGCACCCGTGTTGCTGCTGTCTTGACGTCCTGTTTCCCCCGGAGCCCCACGGTATGGGGCAGGAAAGTAGGACAGGAACGATGCTGGGAGCAGAGAGCTTGCAAGAACTGAAGTGGTTTATGCTTTTAATTAAGAAGGTATGTTTTGTTTGGGTATTTTGTTTTGGTTTTTTCCTTTGAGTGGCTGCTAGTAGGCTTGGTTCTGGCTGTAGTCCCAGGGCGAAGGAATGTATTCTTCTATTTAATGGGAAGAGCTGTTTTTTTGCACACTGGCGGAGATGGAGAAATCCTGTGGGCTTCCATGTGAGCAGCTGTTGTGGTTTAGTTTCCTTTACAGCTATCGCCTTGTTTATGGAAGGAAAAAAACCCACGTGCTTTTCCTCCCAGTCTGAGATGACTTTGTTCCTCCAAACCGCTTCCCAGGTGTTAGCGACCAGAATAAACCTTCCCTGTCTGTACTGCTGCTCTCGTCTCACCTCCTTTTTGTCTCCTTCCCTGTCAGAAGGGCTGAAGTGATCCTCCAGCTGCGGTGGCATGCCTGGGAACCACCCAGGGCCTGTCCCCGCCCTGTGCAGAGAGCTTGGGGGTGGTCAGACCCCCGTCCTGCAAGGAGAATCCGCCTCTTCCCAACCCCTACAGAGCCTGTGAGCCGGGGGGGGGACACGGAGCTTGTGCCGCTTGCCAGCGGCTCCAACGGCTCGGCTGCCCGGGCTTAGGCCAGGCAAGCTGGCAACGGCTGATGTCACCAGCAACGCTTAAAACCTGCCACCCGTGCGCTGCACAAGTGCTTGCTGCTGCTGTCGCCCGTCGGTGGCCGCTGCTCGGGCTTCTGCCAGCTCAGTGATTGCGTTACAAAGCCTCGTAATCCGGTTATTTTAGCCGGCGGGTCTGTATTTTTAGGCCACAGCTGTTAATCGTGGGAGTGAGGGGTACGGGGAAACGCAACCTGCGTTCTCCTGACCTTATGCGGTGGATTTAGGCCCGATAGCGATGGCTGCAGCGGAGTTAAAGGGTTTCTTCTCTCTCGTGCAGACCTTAAAGTGAACCTGTGCTGTCTCCTCTGCTTCCAGCTACCCTCTGTGCAAAGTGCTTCAGCCTCCTGCCCGCCCTGGTGCCGTGTGTCACCTCGGTACTGACCCCCAGGACCTGCTCTGTGTCTAGAGCAGCATCTGAGACCCTGGGGGGACACAACTGAATGCTGTCCCCTGGCAGAAGAGGACACGGGAATCTTGTGGATCTACTTTTCTTTGATGTAGAGAGGAAGCCCCAACAGAGAGGGAGGAGGTAGCTTGGCTTCCCAGGGAGCTCAGGCTAAATGAAGTGCAGGAAAACAGAACCTCCCTGCAGCTGAGCCAGCTCTGTCTGTCCCTGGGCAGCAACACCACAGCAGATGCAGCCAGCGAGATAAAACCCTTTTCCCTGCCCCTCTGCAGCTCACGACGAAGTAACTGCGGGGAGTTTCTGCCAGGAAAGCTGCTGTATTGTTTTAGTGAGTGAGTGGAAAGAGCAGGATTGGGGTGGATGCTTTTACAGTAATAGCTTAACTATTTTAAGTAGGAAGAAATAGTAAGGCAGAGTTAAGATGTCACTGTATCAAATTTAAAAATTAAATAATCTTTTAATAAGAAACTTATTAGTTTGACAAAAATAACTTCCATCAGCTAGCAGCATCACAGAGGCATATCTCAAGGTTTGAGGAAGAACTCGGTTTCAAATTCAGGAACCATCTAAAATGAAGGCTTTTCCCGAGCACTGCAGCCAAGCTTCCCTTTCAGGGCAAGGACCACATCCAGCTTCTCTCCACCTGGCCCCCCTTCACTGGCAAGGGACAACCAAGGTAAGGCCCGGGGCGCTGTGACAAAAAAGAACGGGGAATGTTGCTGAGGTAACGGCAACTTAGAAGGGAACTTAAATAAAATTCCAGGCTGTGGAAAGCCCAGGACTGAGAAGAGCTCCGCAGCCCTGGGGTCTGCCCTTCCTGGGGCAGAAGGGCTGCGTGCAACCACCCCAGGGCAGGGGCTGCAGGGGGACGAGATCCAGTGTTGTTTTCTCTGCAGGTTTCCAAATGCCTCCTTGAAATGTTGAGGTTATTCCCAATCCGCTCGGCCGAAGAGCAGCTCCAAACAAAGGCTGACCCCCCGGTACCGGAGCCACCTTCCCGCGCTGGTTAAACCCCGCGTGAGGATGGAATCCCTCGGCAGGAGCAGCCTGCAACCAACCCCACAGACTCGTTTCTAGACTCCAGGTCCTTTCAGCAGTGGTTGCTCCAGTAGCAGCTCACGCCGCTGGAGCTTTCAGGCGCTCAAGTGTCCGTGCAGGCTCAGAGGTTTTGAGGGCAGTTTTTCCTCGTGTGGCCAGGCTGGTGGCAAATGCTACAGGTCCGTGGTTTCTTGGCAGTGGCTTCCGAGGAGAGGCTGCTTGGTCTCTTGGTTTTAACTCCTAACCCTCTTGAGTATCCACTGCTGCCAAAGTGGTTCAAAGAGACGTCTCCAGAAGGCCCTAGAGAGAAACAACTTGCATTTAAGTACCTTTGAAAAGATAAGTAGGTGAGAAACAGAAGGTAAGTTTAAAATGGCAGATCAAGGATTTTACTATCCCAGCCACTCAGGTTATTCCCGAAACTGCACTTGCTTCACGTTTGTCTAAACAGTTAAGTGTTGCCCACATGTCTTGCAGCCTTAGAGAAATGTGGGAGCAGGACAGGGGAAACTGAAGTGCCCGGCTGCACGCTCTGGTCTCCAGCTCAAGGAGGAACCACAAAACACACCAGAGGAAAAACTTGGGTTTTAAGTCGTTTGGAAAACTTGATTCTACCCCTTTAGGCCCAAATGTCTGAGGAGGAGGAGGAGGCCAGTGTTGAAGATCTCAGACCACCTCTCCACCTCTGCACTTTGCTTACTGTCCCTTTGTGTCAACACTCCTTCTTTTGCATCCTTATTTTGTGATTTTTTTTTTTTTTTTTCCAACGGGCATTTGTTCCCAGCATCTTTCCCCAGCAGCCACCCCCCGTTTCTCGGCTCTCAAAGCTTCAGAAAGATTTGGCCTTTCACTGCATTCCCGAACTAGGGCAGAGGGAGCAGCCGTTTCCCTGGCATGACAGAAGGGGGTTTAAGATCTCCAAAAGCGGTGCCGCGGCTTCACCTCCGTACCGGGTATCAGCTCTCACAAAGCTCAGCGCTGTAATTTGGGAGGACAAATTCCCACACAGGCTGTTGGAACGAGGGCTGGGTTTTATCTGAGTCATGGACACAGATGCTGAAGCTTACTGCATCCTGCTCGGAGCTCAGCAGGCGTGTGCTACGAGGACATACCCTGCCAGCACGTGGAAAGGCAGACTGTGCTGTCACAACCAACACCTGAAGCGCTACAACGCCGCTGACAGCTGTCCCCAAGACAAGCCTGAAATCTGTTAAACCGTAGGAGTTGCTACCGGAGCCGTCACGTCGTGGCAGCGCTACGCAGGCGCGAGAAGCGTGTTGGGTGGAGCCTCAAGAACAGCCCCAACCCTCAGCCCCGACCCAGCCTCACCTGGTGCCACGTTTTCATCTGCCCACTGGAAGAAGCCACACTGCTGCTCGCGGGGCTTCGAGCAGGTGTGGAACTGCCGCCCCTTGTTGGGGCCGTCCTTTTGGACGGTACGTGTGGCAGCTGGCTGCTCGCACTGGCAGACTGTGCCGCCTCCCGCCTCGGAGCCGCTGCTTTCAAAGAGCTCTGGGCCTCTCCCTCCTCCTGGGCGCCGAAATCCTGCTGGGGCCCTTCCTGCAAAGGGCTGGGGCAGCGCAGAGTCCCGCGGAGTCGCGGTGCTTCCGTCCTCCGGCCGCTGATCGGCCCAGAGGAAGAAGTTGCAGGCGCTGGTGCCGCACTTGTAAAACCTCCTGCCTTGGTTGGGCCCTTCTTTGCGCACGGTGAGCAGCAGGGCTTCCTTCCCGCAGTTGCACACCACGGCGTTGTTCCCGTCCTCTGGAGCAGCCGGAGGAGCAGGCCGGGGCGTTCTCGTGGAGCTCAAGGACCGTAGATGTCCTGGCGGCAGGGTTGTGGTCCCCCTCACGTGCCTGTTCTCCTCACTAGCTCTGCTGAAGGAGTTGTGGATCTGTAAGTGATGAGCTTGCTGGCTGGCCGGCGGGGCGGGTTGGGACGACCTGTGCAAGTACTTGAGGTCCAGGAGCTCTTTTAGCATCTCATCGCAGCCTCCGACGCAACCAACAAACTCCAGGGGCATCATGGGTGGAACGCTGCCTCTCTTGAATTTAAACTTCAGTCTAAAAGGAAAGCAAGAGTGAAAGTCTCCTGGTTCATGCAACTCCTCATCAGCAGACCTCAATTTGGACTCGATTTGGTTTTGTTTTGTTTTAAAATTCATTATTAACTATTCATTACCCGACCCCTCTTCTTTCTGTCCCCACCCCATGAGAGCACTGCTCCGGTTTTCCAAGACTGGAACAGAAAACGGTTGCCCAGTTAACCCATGGAAGTGTCCAGCCCTGATGGCTGACCCTGGGATAACTGGCACGACCTACCTGTGAACTGGATGGGGTTTACACACAGCACAGACGCTCTCGTCCCTGGCCACGTCCAGCACAAAATCGGGAAACCAGACTGCAGTTTTACAAGCTGGATAGCCCGTGCAGCTGAGATAGAACCTGCCGTGGGACAAAGGCACCAGGTGAGGAAGAGGCAAAGTCAAAACCGTCGGTGATCTGTTCTCCCGTCTTCTCAGCCACCAGAAATTGTCAAAACAACCATTTTTCAGGGCAAATACGTACTTGAGAGCGAAGTTCAGCTGAGTCCACACAGCTTACGTGGCTGGTGGAGTTAGCTACTGCAGCCCAAGTTTTCAGGCTTGCTGCAGAGGGGAGGTAAACGAACAATCCCTAAAAAAAACACAAACCAACGCAGAAGGCTACTGTCTACAACAGGGAAGGCCACCGACCCGCCGTTCTTCTTGGTCTTCAGGACCATGTCGTGGTTGCACTGTGGGCACTTCCGAACGGAGACGGGCATTGCTGGGTACACCTCCTCTTGCTCTGCGATTTCTGTGGCTTCTCCAAAATACTGAGCCAGGGCCTGGTCCAACCTGTAAGGAAAGAGGTAGAGCGTCCTGTGCGTCTCCTCGGCAAAGAGCAATCGGGCACTGGCACGAATTAGCGCCTGCTGCCCTTCGCGCAGCCCCTCGGAGCTCCTCCGTGAGTCTGCTGACCCAGCGCCACCCCTCGGAACGGGCCAGGTGTGGGGACAGCGTCAAAGAGGTCAGTGCACGTCGCCACCTCCTCCCAGCCAGCTCTGAATTTAACCTTAAGGGTTTAAACCCAGACGAGCCGTTAGTTGGCACCAACACGGGACAGCGTGCCAGGCTGCGGGTCATCCCTTCCCATGCAAATGCCTACACACCCTGGGCAGAGCTCCAGGGCAACGGTGGGACAGGATCCCACTCCAGGCTGAGCCCCAGCTGAGAAGCCAGCAGCTCCCAGAACTGAAGAGGGCAAAGACAGGACTCACTTGTTGGCTCTGGCCACAGCTTCGATGAAGACTTGCTTGTACTTTTGGACCTGCTGCTGCAACACTGCAGATTTGTCTTTCTTCCCCTCACAGATCAGTTTCAGATCAGCCTCCAGCTCAGCTCGGAGGTCAGGCTTGGACATCTCGTAGCCCATGGAATCGTAGCCTGAGGAACAGACCGCATGGTGAAGGGAAGGAGCAAGTGAGGAACCTGCCACCTCCCTCACGGGCTCTGCCCTTACCTTCCACCAGCCCCATGCCCAGGTGGCCTGGCAGGAACCGCTGATCCGCCGTCAGGCCCACGTACATCCGCGTCTTAATCGTCTCGATGTGCTCGGCGTGAGTGGCGTCGGTCCCTGAAAGCAGACGGGTTGTGGGTGGAACGAGGTGCCAAGAAGCGATTTTTTTCCCCCCCGTGCCGAGTGCAAGGTGCTAAAGGGACAAGGAGACAACTTAGGGTCAGGAGCAGCGCTGCCCTCCTGTCCCACTGGCACTCAGGCCAACAAGGTGCTGGCAGGCACACCCTGGACCCGAAATTGCACGTCTCCCTAGGTACTGGAGGCACTCTGCAAGCTCCTTCGGCTCTGTGGGCTTTGCCTGCAGGTCTCTACTGTCCCTTTGCTCTGTGCATTTAAGTGATTTCTTATCTGAAGGGGCTTTTAGAGAATTCCCTGCTCTGAGGGTGGGACAGAACGGGTGTTAGAGAAATTGAAACGAAGCTTCTGAACCAAGCCCTCCCAAGAGCCAAAGGCCACGCTGCCAATACTGACCAATGCCATGTTTCTCCATGAGAGCAATGAGATCCGCTTCTGTGAGGAGCAATGGAGGGCTGGTTTCCCCATCCACCATCTCCACCGTAGTGGGCTGAAAGCGAGACCCTTTCTGATAGAGTGGGATAACCTGAAGGGAAGGAGAATCTCTTTGAAACGGCCTTCTGGTCCTTTCACTGAAGGCAAAATGTCACGTGAACAGCAGGCCAGCGCAGGGACAGAGCAGCACCCTGTTCTGGAGGAGATCCAGTCTCAGGGTCCTCAGGATCAGCCAGTCATGAGCTGCCAGAGATCCCAGGGAACAGCAACTGCAGCTCCTCTTGGTGAGTAAAGTCAACCCCACAGCCCTGTACGGTCTCTGCTTTGGTGTTAGAAGGGGGAGAATCTATCCAAAGCTGACACAAGAAAGCTGCCCAGGCTTTCAGCAGAGATGGCTCCGAGTGAAACAGCCAGTGGGGCAGAAATTGTCACTGTAGAGGGGTCTGAAGCTGGCAGTACGATTTTAAACCCCAGGTACTTTAGCCTCTCCCATCTACGTTATCCAAGGGTATTACCTTATCGCTCCACTTCTCGTAAGGATAGACTTCCAGATAATTTCGGGCCAGGATCATTAGTCCTTGAGCAATGAATCGCTCATTAGCGATGTCGATCTCCACGGTCGTTTCCTGTCCCTTGGCATCCTCGGAGCAGCACGCCAAGAAATGGCGCACGATGAACTCGTACAGTCTCTGCTCGCTGCCCTAATATCAAACAGAAAAAAGATGGGTGATACCAAGCAAAAAAAAAAAAAAAAAGAGAGAATCCTCCTGTGTTAATATCAAGAAATATTAGTGAGATCTCAGGTGAGGATACTGGGCTAATGACCATATTACTAAGACTTCTATCTTTATTTATCAAGCAACGCAAACCATCCGGTTCCCTCCGCCATTGTTAAACTCACCTGCAGGTTAGCAGCGTATTTTGTGGGGTGAATGGGAGGGTGAGCCTGATCTGATTTGGTTCCACTCCGAGGGGTTGGCCCACCCCGATCCAAAATCCTCTGTGCAAACGCTCCCCAGTTTGGGTCCTGTGTTTGCTGCTGTACTAAGGCAGAGAGGTTCAGCTCCTTGGGGAAGATGTTGGTCTCGGTTCGGGGGTAGCTAATGAACCTTCAGAAGAAAGGCAAGAAGAGCACTTTAAGAGGTGCTCCAAGATGCTTCCCATCTTGGACTAAAGACCATTTCTTTGGGAAAGAATTAAGTTTACCAAGCCAAGTCTGGCTTTCTTACCCTTGAGTATAGAGTTTTTCTGCTATTCTCATGGTTTCCTTTGCGTTTATTTTCAGCTTGCGGGAAGCCAGCTTCTCGAGTTCCTGCGTTGGGAGGAGCCAGGAAAAAAAAAAAAAAATAAAGTATTTGTGCAGAATTCAGAGTGGTGAGTAAAATATCTCTTCAAAGCTTCTTTCCGAGAAGTCCTCCCAGCATAGTTCAAACGTACCACAGTGTCCAGGGGCAGGGGCCTCCATTTGCTCTTTGGCTTGCTCCCAACCTCAACCACCGTTGCTACCGGATCCTAAACACAGAGGAAGCAAAACACAGACTCTCCTTTACACAAACTGCTCTTGGAACGAGCCGGGGGCAGGCCCTGTTTGGCTGACAGCGGCTCGCACAGCTACGGACAAGCTTTCCTACCTCCATACACATCTGGTAAAGGACCAGGCACGCTGTGTGATTAAAGAGCCGGTTCCTCTTCCAGTTGAAGGCCACGCTGCCATCTTCATGGTCATGTGTCACTGCGGTGAACAACAGGTCTGAGTGATGCAGCAGGAGCAGCATGGACACAGAGCAGAGGGAGTGGGGCCACACTATTGGGAAATCTTTTCGGTTCTGCTGAGAGGTCAGGGCAAAGGAAGCGGACGCCACCTCTGCCGCACTGTTTGTGTGCTGCCCTGATGTTTTTCCTTTCTAAACACGTCAAGCCCTGTAAGGTGGAGCCCAGGACTCGCTTTCTCCAAGCATACCTTTGATTTTATAGAAGGCTTCGGGAACAAAGGCCTGGATGGCTTTAAAGCGTTCAACTACAAACCCCAGCGTGGGGAACTGGCAGCTACCGTAGCTGATCAGCTGATCCGCTAAAATATTGGGGAAGATCTTCCGGAGCCTGAGTGTCTGGAATCTGGTAAAGGCAGCACCTGAGAAAACAAAATGGACACCAGAACTGAGTGATACAACGTTGGAGGAGAACCACAACGCTTCAGATGGTCCTTTTTATTACTCTGAGTGTTAATTTCACTCTGTCACTCAAAGCTGCAGAAGCCTGTCAGTGCTGCGCGAGCTATAAACCCAACATTCCCTTCGAAGAGCATGATTCCAGTAAAAAATGAGATGTGATGTAGTTGTATCTGAGCTAAAAATCAGATTTACGACGCTACAGAGAGCACTTCTGTCTTTTGTTGGGGACAGAGACGATTTCTAAACACCCCTCGCTGCGCTTTAACAATGTGCATTCAATGTGGTTAGACAAGAGGCGAGGACGAGCCTGACGGCTGGCCATCTTGTTTGCTCAGCAGTCCAAGGGAGTTCAAGTATTTATAGACACTAAGCTGAGAACAAAGCCGTCCCCCTGCCTACCTACCCCACTCCTGTTCCCTTTAGCAGAGCTGCAGGCAGCAGCTCAGGCCCAGCAGCCTGCTCTTATCCCCACGGGGTGACCACACACCTATCCTGAGGTCCAGCTCCTGCCTGACATCGACGGCGTCGCTCGTTTTCTGATCGGGTTGGGTGAGGTTCTCGCAGGCCGTTCGGACAGCGTGAAGCGTGATCTCTGAGAAACGGGCTCGGAAAACCTGGAGGTTTGGCTTTACTGTCAAGAGAGAAAGGAAAAAATAAAAATCAGAAAGCGACTCAAGCACCGACGGAAAGGAGCAACACACAGTGACTTCAGAGAGCAGGCTGTCAGCTTTCCAACAGCTGAATACACTCCTGGACTATGGGAGCCAGGTCTTTATCAGAACTACAGTCAAGGTATTTAACCTGGACGCAGTAAGATTAAGACCACGTGTGTCAGAAGATCCCTGAGTAGGGATACCTGTGAAACCAGCACCGTAACGGGCCTCAGACCGACGCTCTACGCACCAGCTTTGCAAACGTGAATGATCTCAAAGCCGATGTTCTCTCCTTCTCGATCGCAGTCAGTCCAGATCACCAGAGCTTGGCACTGCTGGACTTCTCGTTCCAGAGTTCTCTGAGAGGAGAAAACAACACAGAGCAAGACGAACAGGCCGCTCGCTTGGTCGGTTCCTTTTAGAATGACTCACTCGCTGAACACGAAATGCAATGGGTATCCATGGAGATAGGTGGTTGCAATAACACGTGTAATTGTGTCTCTCATGAGATTAGGCAGCTTTCGAAAGAATTGAGTCATTTATTTACATCCAACTCTGTTAAAAAGCACGGCTTGGATCGGATTGTACCGCAGTCTTTTCTGAAAATGCCTTTTTTTTGTAAAATGGAGAGACAATTACCAGTTCCACCTTGTTGGAACCAACATTTCTACTTTTAGCAAAGTAGTTGTTCCTTTCCTGCACTAATTGTGCACAAGCAGGAGAGTCAGTGTCGCAAATTAATAGCACATCTAGTCCTAGGACATGCAGGAGGAATTTGCTAAGCTGTAGAACCTGGATGTTAAGGACAAAGGTACAACCCTCCTTCTGTCTGAGACAATATTTGTAGAACCAAGCTCTGAACTCAGAGTTTCAGGGAAACTCTTAAAAACCACATACCTTGATATCCACGTAATTTTCAGGGCAATACTTCTCAATTTCAGCATCAAAAAGAGCTAGAGGGTTGCAGCTATGCCTGGTAAACAGAGGATAAACAGTGTGCAAAACAAAAACTAAAACATCTTGTGAGAGACTAACTAATGCTGTCTTGTGAGGAAGTGCTGTTCAAGTGCTGGAATTAATAATATATGTTGTTATGGGCCTCGTCTTGGACAACTTGGAGTTCACATGAAAGGCTGAGCTACGCTTGAAAGCGACAGAACCAAAAAGCAACCCGAGAAAACAGCAAATCTGGAAGGCAGCCCTAAACAAGCAACTCCTCTTACTTCAAGCACAGAGAACAACGGGGAGGGAAGCTAGAGAAAGCGCCTCACTTTGCAGGACAACTCCTAGTTGAGCAAAGAACCCAAAAACATCGATCCAGTTTTGGAATCAGTTTAATTCCTTGGGTCTGCCTGAATGTATTTTAACCAGTATTCTGTATTTTAACCAGTATTCTGTCTTCAGGGGTTTTTAGCGCTCTGAAGACAGTGATTTGAAACAATATTTTAGCTATTCTGCATAAAATTTGGTCACCCTGCTCTGCAGCGGTGTCAGAGTCCCTCCCTGCTCCCTAGTCTTCGGCCTCAGCTCAGGGTGGGAAGCAGAAGCTGACAGCCCCCTTCCTGCCAGGGGGTGCCCAGTACGAACCATTTGCGAAAGGGCAGCCTGAAATCATGAGCCAGTAAGTGTCCCGACACGGATGTCATCACCATAGTAACGTTCTGCAAGAGACAGAGCAAGGGAATTAGCGCCCAGCTTCTGCTAAAAACCACCCAGATCTTCACGCAGTTCCAGACTTACCCAATCCAGGACACCTCCCTCCTCCTAATGTATCATAACAAGCGCTACTGACAGCTCAATCTATGGCCTCAGCCTCCATTTTTGGAGGAAGCTTCCCCCCTTCTAAACAACAATTTCTTGTTGACTGACATAAAACCAGCCAAGTTGAAAGACTTCAAGCCACAGAACAGGTCGGTGGTTGAGCCAAGAAAAGAACATCTTGACTTTTCCTCCTCTTTGGAAAAAAAGTCCCTGTCACTGGATGTGGGTTCACAACTTCTGACAAACGCCTTTTACTAATTAGTATTTTGCACTTCTCTAACCCAGCAGTAAAAGGAAAGAAAACTCTACCTGGCCAAACATCTGGTAGTCGTATTCGTAGATCTTGTTGAACTTGGAAAACCCTTCTCGCTAGAAGGAAAAGGAAAGTCGCTGAGTTTCTGGCTCCTGACAGAAACCAGACGCGTTCCGCCTCGCTTCGTACACGCGGTTAGGGCAGAGCCCAGAGGAGCTTGGGGCAAGTGAAAAGCAGGAACTGTAGCTAATGGAAATTGCCTGTATCACTTACGGAGACGTTGACACGGTGCTTTTCAACCTACGAGTGTTTTAAACCATGCCTGCAGGTTTTAAAGTATTTTAAACCATGCCTGCAGGTTTTAAAGTATTTTAAAGCATCCATCTCCCCATCGATAGTGACCCCAGTGAAGAACAGATCTGTTTAACGGGGCTGGCCAGTTACACTCCTGACAACCAACTGCCCTGCTCCAACTGACCATGAGTGGGCCAGCTCCGGGTCCCCAAGACCACCGTCCACTTCACTGAGCCTCGTGAGTTTCTAGAGTGGGTATTTGCTGCTTTCTCTACAGAAGCAGGATGGTATCTTCCTTGATTGGGACTGTCAGCACTCAGGTTCTCCATAAAACCTTTCACTCAAAGATAGTTCTGGCCTCGAGGCGCCGTCTAGTTCCTTAGCTTGGAAATGCCGAGTAATTATGCAAACCGTTAAAGGTCACAAAACGCAGGAAAACAGAGAGGAGAGGTCTCTGAACTCCTCTCCTCCAAACCACAGACCATCTTTGCTTTATTACGTGAACTTCAGTAAACCCCAACACTTGCTGACGCTGCAGAAGCGGCGCTTTTTGACTGGGAAATACACACCAACAGCTGGTTTCAGTTCCCGAAGCCTTTCGCCTACGCTGCAGAGCAAGGGACAACGCAGGGAGCCCTCACCGCGGAGCTGAGTGCCTGGAGAAGGCGGTTCTGGGCAGAGGGGAGCGCAGCTGGCAGGGCTGAATCCCAACAGGACGTAAGTCCCAAGGAAAAGGGGTCTAAGACTCCCAGATACAGTCGGGCAAGAGGTGCTTGTCCCCAAAAGAAAGCCACTCTCGCACCCTTGCGTGGTCAGAGACAAAACCAGTGCAAGGGGTTGCAGGTGCTGATGGGAACCGCCTGTGCCGAGCTCTGCAGGGCGGGCTTGTTGATGAAAGGTCGCCGTCACGACAAACTTCTCCACACCGGTGCAGAGGAGCCGGCCCTTCTTTATGGCAGCGCTGGGAAGCACGGGGGATAGCTCCTCCTGACGTGCTTCAGGGTTACATCAAAAAATTCAGCATTTTATACCCTTTTTCTGCAAAGTCATGATCTTTAACATATTTTAACATCAGCATGCATGTTATGCCCGCTATTAATTTTGACATTTAC